TATCATGTTATCATTAATTGAGCTCAACTAAATTAATTGAACTCAGTAACATAATCTCACAACAATGCATATGATTAATCTCTACTTGATAATAAATTGCTAAAACACACACTCTCAAGCTACCAATCTCACATCGACGACATGAAATTTCCCGAGAGTATTAGGACAGTATCCCCTGAATCCCATTTTCTTTTCCTTTTGTCAGCGCCTATGTTCATCCCAGAGACGCTAAAAATCGGTTTAGCGTTTCTAGAATATTCTGGTACTTCGGATTTCTCACAGAATTGCAAAATATCTCGTTCCTTTTTTCGGCTGGTGTTATATATTTTTTTTTTTTATCCGATTGGTTTGTGGTGATTCTTATGTGACAGAACAATGTTATCAGGATATTTTGCATTTAGCCAATCATCGCTGAGTTCTCGAGTGCATTTTCGCTTCTATAAAAATAAGATACACTTTCCATGCACTTAATTAAATTCCTTTTTCTCTCCTCACCTCTTTCCCTCATCTTTTTTTTTCTTTCCCATCTCTTCCTCAACCTAATCTTCTTCATTCCCTCCCTCCCTCCCTTCCTCCTTTCTCAGTTCCTCCCTCCCTTCCTTTCCTCTTCCTCTCTCCTCACCTCCGTCCCACCCTTCTTCCCTCTATCCTACCCTTTCTCCTTCCCTTCCTTCTTCCCTCCCTCCATCCCTCTAACCTACCCTTTCTCCTTCCCTTCCTTCTTCCCTCCTTTCTTCCATCCCTTCATCCCTCTATCCTACCCTTTCTTCTTCCTTTCCTTCTTCCCTCTTTTCTTCCCTCCCTCCTTCCCTCTATCCTACCCTTTCTTCTTCCCTTCCTTCTTCCCTCTATCCTACCCTTTCTTCTTCCTTTCCTTCTTCCCTCTTTTCTTCCCTCCCTTCTTCCCTCTATCCAACCCTTTCTCCATCCCTTCCTTCTTCCCTCCTTTCTTCCCTCTATCCTACCCTTTCTCCTTCCCTTCCTTTCCCCATCGTCTTACCTTTTGGGCGTTCTTGTAAGGAGTTTGCCGAGGTTCTTCACGTAGTCGGGGACTCCGACGACTACTGGCTCATCGATACCGATCTATAAAAAAAGAATTAGATTAATATGAAATACTAAATAGGATGAGGTTGACTGATACCGGTTCGGTTTATTTGGCCGGCCTACTATGCCTAGTTGCCAGGCTGAAACACGGACACACGTGCGCACATGTATGCAAATGCATACGTCCGCTCAAATTCATATACACATAAACACAAACAAATACACAAACACTCACTCACCCAACCACCCACCCACCCACCAAAACCCACCACCCACCAAAAACCCACCCACCCACCAAAACCCACCCAACCACCAAAACCCACCCACCCACCAAAACCCACCCACCCACCAAAAACCACCCACCCACCAAACCACCCACCACCAAAACACACCCACCCAAAACCACCCACCCCCAAACACCCACCCACCAACCCACCCACCACAAAACCCCCCCACCCACCAAAACCCACCCACCCACCAAAACCCACCCACCCACCAAACCCCCCACCACCAAAAACCACACCACCCACCAAAACCCACCCACCCACCAAAACCCACCACACCCACCAAACCACCCCACCCACCAAAACCCACCCACCCACCAAAACCCACCACCACCCACCAACCCACCACCCACAAAACCCACCACCCACCCCCAAACCCCACCCCCCACCCCACCAAAACCCACCCACCCACCAAACCCACCCACCCACCAAAACCCACCCACCACCAAAACCCACCCACCCACCAAAACCCACCCACCCACCAATAACCCACCCACCCACAAAAAAAACACCACCACAAAACCCACCCACCCACCAAAACCCACACCCACCCACCAAAACCCACCCACCCACCAAAACCCACCCACCCACCAAAACCCACCCACCCACCAAACCCACCCACCCACCAAAACCCACCCACCCACCAAAACCCACCCACCCACCAAAACCCACCCACCCACCCAAAACCCACCCACCACCAAAAACCACCACCCACCAAAACCCACCCACCCACAAAACCCACCACCCACAACAACACACCCACCCACCAAAACCCACCCCCCACCAAAACCCCCCACCCACCAAAACCACCCACCACCAAAACCCACCCACCCACCAAAACCCACCCACCACCAAAACCCTACCCACCCCACCAAAACCACCCACCCACCAAAACCACAACCACCCACCAAAACCCACCCACCCACAAAACCCACCACCACCAAAACCCACCCACCCACCAAAACCACCCACCCACCAAAACCCACCCACCCACCAAAACCCACCCACCCACCAAAACCCCACAACACCCACCAAAACCCACCCACCCACCAAAACCCACCCACCCACCAAAACCCACCCACCCACAAAACCACCCACCCACCAAAACCCACCCACCCACCAAAACCCACCCACCCACCAAAACCCACCCACCCACCAAAACCCACCCCACC